TGAGCTCCTACGGAAATACACCCTTAGAAACCCTTTGTTGCAATTCTGTGGAGACAATATCAGCAACATCCTTTCAACCCTACATAACCAAAGAGACGGCATTAAAGATTGTTTCAGCAGATAAAACTTCTCCTTACAGTGCACAGAGTAAAGCCCATGTGAGCCACGGTGGCTCGTGCTCGAGCTCGTGGTACCAAGTGTCTCGGTTTAGGGTTTAATAGGTTTTAGGATCTACCTTAACCTACCAAAACCCTTTTTCCTGTCAGTTCTTATTATAGACCCTATTGTGGGATTTAGAGGGACCCTTCAAGAAAAGTAGGTTCTATAGTGGGTGTAGGGTTAGGGAAGCGGTAACTCAGGGACCTGCTACCGAAAATCTTCAATGCTCACCCTCCTATAAACCCTATAAACCCCGAACCCCAAACCCTAAACCCCAAACCCTATAACCCCGAACCCCAACTGTGTTCCCAGGTGGTTGTGCTTTGCCTGATGCTTCTCCTGGCCAATGACAAGATGGACTGGACACGTGCCTTCTGGCTGGACAACCTAGAGTACTGTGCATGGGGAAACAGCTCGTTTTGAGATCGTCCACCCTCCCCCACAAACACAGCATCATGAGTTCCTGCCGGCCCATGAGCAACAGACATGCATGAACCAGCATGGTGTGCTGTAGTTTGGCGAATTGTGTAAAATAACAATTGGATCAGGTTTGGAATTTCGCCGAGTTCTTCGCTGGGGATGCAAACCTATCCAAAGCCCTGCGGGACATGAAGCTGCCTGGGGCTTCCTTCGATCAGAAGTACCCAAGCTCGGGGATGGACTTCCGCACGGCAAGTGGGTTCGCGCATCGGAGCTTGTATCTGTACGTTTTCCCTCTTGACTGGTTTTCCACCCTGCCTTTCCTGCTGTCTAACCCATTTGCCTCCATTCTTTCTCAGGCTGGCTTTGTCGGCCATCCTTCGCCTGAAACCATCAAGTCTAGTCTTCCTGGCCCCAGTGTGCAGCACCATGGGGACGTTGGTTTCGAATCATACTGGTCGGAGCTTTGTGTTACCACTTGGTGACACAACACGGGCGGATGTAGCTCAGTCGAACCTCATGGCCATAAGGCCAGGCATCTGCATGTGTGCAACTATAAACAATCCGCCCCGTGAACTCATTGTCTTGTCCTTGGCCCTGCAGGACAACACTGTTGTGCTGGGTCCTCTCGGCTCTTGGACATCGCTTCGTGCTTGAGCAGCCGGCTGGGGGAATGTTTAGGCATCTCCCATTCTGGAGATATTTCTGCAAATATATTGCAGTGGTTTTCAGGCAGGCGGTGTGGATGAGACAGTATGGTGCCAAATCCCTGAAGAGGACTTTCTTGTGGAGCAATAGCCCTGAAGTCAAACTCC